TATGTGGGAAAGGATTAATTTTGAGTTATTGTAATTAATGAAATTTAAAATTAAGCGACCCAATTGGCCAGTTCATATATATTTGACTCACAACGTTTCGACCATAATTTGGTTTTTTTCAAGTGAGATATGGGGAAAGGACTTGAAAACGACCAAATTATGGTCGAAACGTTGTGAGTCGAAATATGTGAACTGGCCAGTTGGGTCACTTAATTTTGGATTTCATTATTTTCATCTACGTACTGGCGAATTTATTTATTTATTCTATTGTTATTATAATTGTTTTAGCAAATCATTAAAACTCACCGCATTTGTGAGGACAGTGCCGTACCATGTGTATATAAACGGTTGAAACAGTTTTACTAAAGCGAATGTCATAAACTCGGTTAAGTTCCTAACGTTAAAGCTCGAGAACTATTCCAAAGGTTTAACAATTAATATTACATTATAAAATATTTAAGCAATGCTATACCATTGCACACGGAAAAATCTTGCAAGCCTGCGCAATTTTTGTTTCTAATTTATTTAAAAAATATTAGGTAATATTTTACTTTACTTTTAGTTATATTAAAGTAGCACGGTCACGAGAAAATTATGAGATTTCTTTATTTGTTACTCGCAAATGTTCTCCAAATAAATCAAGACACGTTCAAATTCTGGTATTATATTGACGTAACACAACGGTATCAATTGTACTACCGTAACATTTATTGTCTCATGCGGATTTCAACTACGCATAATACAATAGATTAAGCATTGCGACATTCAATTTTACATTAATGTATCTACGTACTGTCATCGCCTCGTATATCAGTGAGCAAAGAAGCACGGCGTTGGAGACAACGTGGTAAAGGACAAAATGCCCATAGTTATGCTCCAGCGTGTCACGGCATTGCAGTAGCTTCTGATGCTTCTCCACGCACGTCCTTAGAACGTCTGAAAACTTCTCGGTGGGCAAAGGATTCGTGAGCCTGAAAGTCATGGCGTGCATCGTCGAGGCAAATTGATAGACATATAAGCCAAAGGCACTATCAACGCTGGCCGCCGTTGTGCTGCTGAGCGATGCTAGACTCGTCTCGAGGAGCAGATGAAAATGATACAAAAAATTGTCGGGAACGGGCCAGAAGTGCCCGTATCTTCTACTGAGTGGTAGGGTGTAATTCGTAGTTAAATGGAGATGACGGAGATCGCGGATTATGAATAAATATGGAGGAACAAAATACGCCAAGACTAATGCCATCATAATGGCAGAATATGTGTACGCCAAGATGCACATTGTGGGCAGGAACGAAAGCATTATCGTTCGCGTTTTCTCGTTCCGCGCAAGCTCCTCCTCGAAAAGATCATTCAGCGTCCGGTGATAATTTATCAGAGATCGGCGATTGAAGAGGAAGGTTCCCACCTTAAAAAAGATCAGACATGCATACCTCTTCTCTACACGAGACAAAAATGTAGCACAGAAACTGTTTAATACTACCATTTTTAATCTGTCACATTTAAATTTTAAATAAAAAAATTTTTTGCGAAATATGAAGCGTTACAAAGAAGTGACGTTTATTAGAAGATATATTAACGCGGCGCATTTTACGTGTTTCAATAAATGTACTCAATTTGTTTTTTAAAGAAACCTTAAATAAATCGTTGACGTTGTAAGATTTTAGTTTGACTACAAATCCTGTTGATTATTTACGGAAATGTAAGTCCCTGATTCGTACCTTGAGAATGGCTCCAACTGCAGATGTTCCTATGCCTATGTATCTCATCATAAGTACTAAGTTATGTCTGTGAATATAGCTCATATGCAAGTTTAGCATTAGGAACATGAACATGCCCAAGAGCATACAAACGGACCAATAGTAACGGATT